GAGGGTTGACTGGAACAAATTAAGCAACTTGAACGTTTTTTTATACAGATAAATTCTTCAGCGAATTGACGTGAACATGTAAGGATACCTTGTTGACGAGGTTCTTCAAGAGCTGTTGAAGTACAGTATGTGCACCCTTGTCCATCTACTCTTGAGTCATGACATTTAATCGAATTGGTCAAATTTTCTGAGTGTACAGGCATGTGACTGCCAATGGGGAGGTACGAATCTGCATTTAATTTTTGCCTAATGGAACTGTTCCTCTGGGATGATCCTCGCGAAGAAATTAATAGAACTTTGTCAAAAATGTGTACTCATCCATAAAAAGTTCATGCATCTGCATGCATTTTCAGGGATCCTCATGCAATTTGGATTCGTGCCTCGCAATGGCAGTCGCATGCCCTTTCTTTCCCATCTCAAAAAAGTGTTAATATGATACTCATGAATGGGTATCCATAAATTCATATAATTTTAAGAGCTCTAGGAAAACATTGTAGCCAACGTTACATTAAATTTCCAGACCAATGAATTACAAGGTATGGATTCAATAGAAAACTTTCAAGTTGCATTCTTTTCTTGTTATCCATGCATTCCAAAAGGGATCATTCTGAAACAGAGCGTCTGCACATAGTTTGCTCATATGAAAACTGGTTCTGAACTTTTTTGATATGTCCACGTACATACTGTACTATATATAAAGACTCCCGTAATATGCCCTATGCGCAGAAATGAAGAAAAAGTAATTTCCTTGTTACCCTTATACGGAGATATACTTATATTAAATACATTGTAAAAGAGAAATGAGAAGTCAAACACCGCCAATTGGATTTTAAATTGACCTTATCAGAAGGCGACGATAAAATTCGTAAGATGAAAGGAAGAGGTCAACAGATCGTATCACGCTTAGCAATGCAAACCACTCGTCGTAGGTCGTATGATCTGGTAGAAAGGACCTCTACGACCCGCCGACGGCTCGTATGACCCAGAAGAGAGAACGTACGACCCGCCGGCGGGTCGTATGGCAGCGAAAGTGTTAAAGAACAGATTCAAAATGCTTCTAAATGTTGAAAATAACTCTGCCTTTTATGTTCTTCCCTGAATAAAGTGGAATGAAGGGCGAAAAGCGGCATTCTCAACGTACTTAACGACCTTTCCAGTTTAGGATTAGACAATGTGCAGCATACCACTTTGAAGCAGGTTTTTTTCTTCCCTAGTTGAGATGGACAAGGGGTTGTCCCGTATAAATTCAACTTGTACGTTGTAATGGGTTACTGACATATATTCGCTATCATAAGGCTATGCATGTTTAACTTGCATGATAAATGTTCATATGGAAGGTGAACTTCCATAAAAAGGCCAGCTTCCATTCGAGGAAAGCATGACACACATTTAAAGTAAATTATTGAGTTATCCCAAGTAGGAAATAACATCGAACCAACAATGATTCAACGTATGTTGCACATCCGGATGTGGAATCAACGTTGAATCAATGTTGTTTCAATGTTACATGCTGCTTTGGATGTAACATTAAACATCCACAAATACGTGGGATGTTCACGTGTAACCCTGACTTTCCATCATATAAAGGGCAGCAGTGCACTGNTGGGGATGAGTCGTGGGTCCTCTACGATACTCCCAAGAGGAAACACCACTGGCTGCGCTCCGGTTCCAAGCCTCCAGTACAGCCAAAAGGCAGTCTGCACCCGAAGAAGCTGTTGCTGTGCATCTGGTGGAGCGAACGAGGAGTTGAGTACTGGGAGCTGCTTCCAGAGAACTCAACGGTCACTGCCCGCATTTACACCACTCAGCTGGCAAATCTCAAAGCGAAACTGGACTCCGATCCTTACTGGGCAGGCCACGTGTTTTTCCAACACGATAACGCGCGCCCACACGTCGCGAACGTCACCCGCAGCACGCTACAGGGGTACGGCTGGGAAGTGATCTGTCACCCACCGTACTCCCCGGACCTTGCCCCTTCTGACTATCATCTATTCCGATCGCTGAAAAATCACCTGGCTGGGAGGAGCTTCACCGATCGACAGGCCATGGAAACCGGCCTCGCAGACTTCTTCGCCTCGAAGCCCAAGTCCTTCTACAGAGAAGGCATCCATGACCTGCCCAGATGATGGACGAAGGTCATCTGCAGCTATGGCGAATATGTGGTCGATTAGGCCTCGCTTGTTGCAAAGCTCTAAAGTTAAGAAAATAAAGTTGTCAATACCGACAGGACTTTTGCAACAACCTAATACATAGATATTGGAGGCGGATTCTTGGAAACATTGGCAATATTTCGTGAATTTACCGTATCCTTCGTTTTAAAAGAATATGAAGGTGCGGTTTCACTTGAACAACTTTAGTGTACAACGCTGTCTAAAGTTATAGCTTCATAATATTAGCTTCCAGGCCAACTGAAGATCTTGCAATGGAATTAGTAATCGCCATTATCGAGGAGGCAATTGTGATTCAGTATGGTGTTGATACATTGCTAAATTGACTTGTAGAAGGTGATGCAGTCGTCCCTGTTTCACATTATTTTCGGTTATAAAACGAAATGATAGACACTTTGCCTTGAACGTGGAGGCCGTCGCAAGTCTTTCTCAGAGAAATTCTTGAATGCCCATGCTTCATTAAATAAGCTGCTTGAAGAAATAATTTTAATTCATGCAAATGGATGATAATACTATTTATTCTAGGTTTTTCTCCACTTTCCAAATTTCAAATTGAGTTTTAGCCGACCAATGGAACGAATGATTCCCATGGTGAAACAAAGGCATCAAGAAAGAGATCTCCTTGTCTCCTTTTTCGATCAACATCTGTCATTTTCCCTTATGCTCTCTGCATGAAAACTGTATGCACCGGGGTCCCCAATAAGTTCTCAGCCTGACTATTGGGTTTTGAGATTCTATAGTTACACTTTTAATCTCACAAACACACGGTACCTCTGCAGAGATAGAAACTTGTATCCGCTCTGATGCATGAGTGACAGCCGGTTTTCTTGTCGTACGATAAATTTGTCTTGGATTGTCATAAATTTCGGCTTTGCTCTGCGATCAAATGAGTTTTTTAATCGAAGGCAGGCTTACCCCTACTGATAATTCAAATACACCTGCTGATGGCCAATAAATATACTCCACCTTCCTACAGCATGGTGAGGAAGTGGGGAGCTGAATATCTAGGAGGACGCGATACAATTGGAGATGATCATCCCTCAGGTAGACCATTGGGGCTGATTGTAGAAGCTTGCGTTGCGACAGTAAAGCTGGAAGCTGGATGACGGACAAATCGGAACGAGGGAAATAGCACATGTGTAATAGGTATCTCAAAAATAAATTTGTTGCAATGACGTACGAAAACCTGGGACTGTCAAAAAGCCTGTGCCTGGTAGGTGCCCCGAATATTGTCAGTCATTGAACATGCTGATACCGTCCTAAATCGACAGAAATCGACCTGTTCAACACAGATCTAGCGGCCTTTTGTTCACGAATAGTTACTGTGGATGAAACTTAGCTGGACAATTGAGACATAGAATCCAAGCAGCAGTCGATGATATGAAGGCACAATGATTTTCCATCCCACATGAATTTTAATGGTCAGGCATTTGCTGGCAACGTCATGGTAAAGATTTTCTGAGGCACTTAGGCAGACGTTTACTTCAGCCATATACCGAGGGACAAAACTGTCCGCGTGTTCAACAACTTCCGTTTTGGGACCAAATATCTAGGTATAGGATTATCCGATTATCCAATTTATTTGTGCGACATACCATTTGCAGCCAAACTCTTCTTCCACAAGTGTCTAAAGTTTTTCATTAGATTCAGTTTCAGTGGTTATCGAGACAGCCTAACGGAAAGCAACCGAATGCATTCGGACAGTTTTGTCTCAGGTTCCCTGGTCCCGTCTCGCGCACGTACGGTCGCATGAAACACTACGAATTATTTATAGAATCACGAAATTGCATAGACTTAGGTTGAAAATATCGGGGAACCCACCTCTTCTGCGTTATTGAGTCTCTTCTAGTATTTATTTAGACAGAACGAGTGCATGGACGCTACGTTCATCGGGGATTCAAGTTGCAGCGCGAAGGCGCGCACGATTCATTTGTCGTCTTCAATCGAATCGTAGGAAATCGCCGTCGGAAATGTACACACTTGGAAAAAAATAAATCGAATTGAAAGTCTGCCACCATGAATTGCTTTCCTTTAGTCCTGTACTCCTGCCAGAAAGACCTGAAGGAATGTAATTTTAAAAAAAACATGAGTAAAAATATTCATATACCATAGTTTTTGAAATTGCAAACTGATGTCATTAAGAAAAAATTCCAATGACCTTTCGCGCCCCCTCCCAGGGACCCTCTAGCGTCCCCCCTAGGGGTCGTACCCCCCAGTTACAGAACCCCTGTCCTAGGCCTTGGGCGTGGTGCCATATCAGTAACTAGAGCTGTCAGTTCTCTACCAACCTTTGTGTCAGATAGGTCCAACCACGCATAATCATCCATCCTCCCATCATTCCATGGGCACCATGAGCAGATTTGCCTAATCTGTGAAATTAGATTCTTGATGGTTGAGGACCAGAAGTAAATGGCATTTCGCTCAATTATTTGACTAAATGAGGGTCTCTTTAAATGAAAGGAGGCTCACTACAAGACCGGGCTTGTCCATTTTGTTTAAAGAAGGTTTCATACCAAGCATTGGTTTACATCACTTTGGGATGGATTATTGCTGACAAGGAGACAGCCTGAAAGTGGGAAGGGGACGAGGCAGGACGCTGGAGCAATTACTGCGTTATCTAATATATATAGACGATCGTGACTGACTGACTTACTGACTGACTGACTGACGCTAATTCTAACCATGTTCCAGAAAGGTTAGAAATGTGAAACTTGGTACACATGTACCTTTTGGGGTGCAGAGTTCAGAAAAACCCCGACTTTGGAGGTACATGCCCTGGGGGTACGCATTTTGGGGGGAGAAGTTTTTTTTAAAATATATATCGTGATGGATAAGGATGTCATCGAAAGAAAACCCAAGTGGAGTGGATCATGGACATCTTCTTGTACGGTTGGAGGAAGCCCCGGCATGACAAGATGGTACCTAAACGACAAGCTGTTCTTGCGTGTGAGCAGATATGAATTTCATATGGTTAAAATTCGCAACAAAATGAGACATGCGGAATTTTATTCTCCAGTCGGTATGGCAGGGAACAGTATGGATCTCGAGGAAGTGTCGAGAAAGAAGTCTGCTCGAAAGGGAGAGCTTACTTGGGGAGATCCTGCTGTCTATCATTGTCCACCCCTGAAGGAAACTCAGAGAGCTGGATTTGATCTTGTTTTCTCTGATCATCTCTAAGGAACTAATGGATTTTTGTACATGCAAGTGTGTCTGTGTGATCTTCACTCATACGCAAGGTGTTTCACTCTCATTTTCCAACCTATTGACATCGTCTTTTGTTTATACATGGAGGCTCTCCGTCAGTTTCAGTTTGACTAGGGGAGCGGCACCAGTTCGCGAACAGGGAGCCAGTTAGCGAACGAGGGTCACGAAACGCGATTTGGCCTTTTGTTACTCTAGTTTCACACTCCGTCCCAAGCATTAATCAATCAATCCATTTTCTGCAGATACCGAAAGCTGGAGCGTGTAACTCGAAAAACAAATGGCCAAATCGCATTTCATGACCCTCGTTCGCTAACTGGCTCCCTGTTCGCGAACTGGTGCTTCCCCCCTATTCGCGATTTAAAATAAATGATAACCATGGCTGAACAAGTAAATAAAAAAGCAGTAACAAGTAGTTCACAAGTTCTTTTCCTCTATGACGTGATACATTTATTTTGCTGATTCTTCTACTTTTCCTGAATATGAATTACAGGACATTTCCTCCCTATACGTGGGGATTGTTCTGGTCATTGAATAAAATAATAGAACCCTAGAATGATCCGTTTCCATTTTCCCCCAAACGATTCCTCACAACAAAAAGAAACTGAATGAAAATCCTCTGGCCTTGCAAGCCTAATAATGCGAAATTCCCAAATGTTGCAAAATGCTTCACGTTTTCCTGAGGCTAAGCAGCTCAGCTTTTTCTCATGAGTGCATGAATCGAGTTTTTTTGGAGGGCGCTCATCCGATTAATATACCTTTCCACGAAAAAACTGAAAGGTGGGATATCCCCTCCTTGGAAGGGGAAAATCGTGAGGAATCCTTGAGCCTCTTTCGAGATGGAGCTGCGTTACCCTCTTCTCTCTTTCACTCTCCCTCCATCGAAGCACTCATGCACTTCACACGACGGGTGGATTTTTCATTATTGACGGGAAAATATAAAAGACAAGCTTTGACATCGCAGGAAAACGTAAAGAGGACAATTTTCCTTGTTGGGACTCCGGGTTCATTCCATTATGGGCTCTCGTTCCAGACACTTGTTCAGTACTGCGTACGTATGCACGTAGCATCGCCGACCATAGTGTGGTGTGTCCACAGGAAGTGCTGTCATTGCAGCTTCTGTCAATGTTTGAACCCTGTGTTGCTGCATTGTCATGCTCAGAGCAGCAGCTGCAACCCTGTCATAAATTGGGAACTGTCTACTTCTCAGATTTATGTTGATTTCTGTCTTAAATTAAGAGAGTGTATGCTCGATGGCAGCGAGAAAGAGACTGTACAGGGCGAGAATTTCATGGTATGATTGCCATAGATGGTCGGGCATTCCTAGTGAGCCCTGGCATTATCCAAAATGAAAATAACTTCCTAATCGGGACAGATAAAAGCAGACCTCAGAAAGGAAGCCCCGAAACTTGTCACGAGTAAGTCCTCTCTCGAGGAAGGTACGGTAGAGTACGCCTTCTTTCAGGGGATATCGTCGTAGCCATGGTAACATTCCCACCCTTCTGTGTCTCAACTTTCTTTATGCATCTTGCACCCATTAAAGACCAACCCTTGGTTTGGGAGAGCCCGACATAAAGTCCAGTTTCGTCAATATATACTAGATGCTTTGTCTGCCCTCTAAGAGTCTTGGATAATGGTGTTGAGGAAATAGAAAGTGAAACTGGGAAAAAGTATATGCAGAGTGCTGACAACTTACACATTTTAAGGGACAGAGATAAAAATCCTCCGGTATTGCTAGATCCTTTATCTTCGGAGCCTAGCACAATTGATCAACCGTCAGATGATGATGATGACGCCTTTCTGCCAGATATGATTAATACCAACCCTGAACCTAGTCCTCCAGTGGATCAGACATTGCCTAAAGCATCCTCGGAATCCAAGACCTCACCATCCGACATTCCTCGTTTCGTCACGCAAACTAGATCAGGGCGAATTTTTAAGACTCCTGATTTTTATGGTGTTCCAGAATCTCTTTTTTTTTATTATTCGAACATCTCTTCAATCTTCAATTCCACAGAGAAAACGCCCAAAAAAGGAGGGAAAAAATACATAAGAACTGGGATGATTATACATTAAAAAAAACAAGGACATAAAAGGCAGGGAGGATAAGTGAGAGAGTGAGAGAAAAAGGTAATAGAGTGCTGATAAATCTCAAATGTGGCTAGATGCGGAAGTACGCATTGCTGGGGACAATTCACGGGATACCCATTCTTGCCTCTCAAGGACATTTTTTAATGGATTCCACAATATATTAAAGTTCAAAGCATTCCCATTTCGATATGCTATGAGCTTTCCCACACGGAAATGTTTATTAATGGCATGAAGTAATTGATTGAATGTGGGTTTTTTCTTTTCCATATGACAGACGAAAATGAAATGTCTGGTAAGAAGTAAAATTATATTAAGCAAGTGGCTATTCCTTCCACTAAGACCAAAGAGCATATCTTCACTGGTTAGATTCAATTGTTGTTCATTAAATCTTTCTTGAATAAGAAAATCTTTAAGGGCAATCCAAATTTCGTTAGACATCGGACAATCAAATATCATATGAATCAGAGTATGATTATCTTCACAGAAAGGACATGTAGGAGCTTCTACAAACCGGCAGAGGTGTAGAAAACGGAATGTCGGGAGGACCCTGTAAATCAACCTGAAAAACCGTAGCTGCGGTGACCTGGCTGTCAGGTAAATCAGGTTAAATTTTTCCTGCCAAAACTCTGCACTTAAGGAAATTCCAAACGTCGTTTCCCATTTTTTTAGTTATGGGGCTCTGTCTAGGTTTCTATTATACTCCCTCAAGAAGAATTCATAAGCCTTTATAGGGGATAGGCAAGATGAGATGCAAAGGTTTTAACTAACATACTTCTACCGTAAACTGAAAGGTCTCTGGTTTTCCACATTCCCAAGGAAGTTCGAATGTCTAACATTTTACCAGCGTAATTTAGATCAACTATTCCCCTAGGGTTGCTTGATATCAGGACGCCTAGATAGCGTACTGGTCCGGAAGTCCATTTTAAATCATGAAACGGTGTTGAGTCTACTTGATTACAGCTAGTTCCAATTTTTAAGGCCTCCGACTTTTGGAAATTGACTCTCAAGCCGCTCATGGTACTAAAGTTTTCGACTATTCCCAGTGCAGCTTTGAGCGTGGCGTCTGCATCATCAAGTAGAAGGACTGTATCATCAGCATACTGAAGTATGCGCCACTCACTTTGGGCCACTTTAATCCCCTTTATATTTTTGGAGCCTCGGATTGCGTGTCCCAGTGGTTCGACGCAGAGAAGGAAAAGGTAACAACTCAGAGGGCATCCTTGCCGTAAACCTCTTTCCAGGGGGAAATAGTCTGTTGTCCAACCGTTAATCAGGACACATGAAATGGGATTACTGGTAAGGGTATGAACCCATCTAATGAAGATTTCCCCAAAACCATAATAATTTAAGCAGCTTTTCATGAACTCCCGGTTAACAGTGTCATAAGCTTTTTCGAAGTCGAGAAAGAGTAGCGTTGCAGATTGTTGCCGACTATCACAATAATCGATAGCTTCTAAGACTTGCCTGATGTTATCACCTATATATCTATTTGGCATAAAACCAGTTTGGTTAATATGTATAAGGCTCTCGGACACCTTTTTCATTCTATTTGCAAGAGTTTTGGCTAGAAGTTTATAATCTGTATTTAGCATTGAAATCGGGCGCCAGTTAGCAATTAGTCGGCTGTCTTTATTCTTTTTTGGTAGGAGAGTCATATATCCCCTGCGCATTTCCAAGCTTAGCTCAGTGTTATAAAATGATTCATTATAGACCTCGAGGAGCACTTCTGATACGTCTTCCCAGAAAAGGAGGTAAAATTCAATAGGCAAACCGTCTAGGCCTGGGGTTTTACCTTTGGTAAATGATTTTGCTGCGTCGTAGAGTTCTTCCAAAGAGTTCCAGAATCTCATGTTATCAGTCAATCCCTTTTTCTGATATACAATCCTCACTGTCTACCCTTCATTCTTCTTTTGGGTCCTTGAAAAGACAGTTAAGTGAGGTATGTCAGGATTTGTATTAATCCAGGCATGAGTTTCATACATTGGCTGCATTGCAAAAGGATTTTTTAGCCTGTTAGGAAAGAAATAGTCAAAAGACCATTCCACTGCAACATATATGGCTTTGGATAAAAAAAAAATTGAGCTTCTCTCAAGTAGGTTTGATAGGATCAGTTCTGAATTGAGGCTTTGGATCGTGAGGCTTTGGCTCTTGCGGCTTTGGCTCTTGCTTCATTGATTGTTGCAGATGAAATCTAATGAGTTTTCTTTGATGTATGCTCTTTCCTTGTGACTTAGTGTTTATCTTCGACAAATTTTGCCTTATTGGTCAATCTTCATTTCATTTTTGGTTTTTGTGAGGCCTAGGGTCTCTTCACTGCAAGTTCGCCATTTCCAGCCATATTACATTTTCCATATGCCTCATTGCTCTATTATTGATGCTGTATTTTCTTCATAATCGCCTGAAAGGAGAATAAATTAGTTGCCCCACCCATGGAGGAAATTTACATTTTCTGATGATCCTGTTCCTGATCCTCATCCTCATCCTCATCCTCATCTGGTAGTTCTTCCTGTAGCACCTTCAAGATCCTCTGCTCCCCAACGCCCTTCAGCCCTTATGCTTTTTGTGGGCCACTCCTTTGCCAGGAGGGCTCACACTCATGCATGTAACCATAATGAACCGGTTTGTCGTGGGCTCCAGCATCCTTCGGTGGCTGTCAGGGCCCTCTCTGGTGGGAAGCTTCCAGACATATTGAACTTGGTCGTTGCGCTCCTTGACCTACATCCAGGAGCTAGGATTCTCGTCATTCGTGCCGGAGAGAACGATATAGATCAGTATCGCGTCAATCAGGTACACCCTGATTACTCCCCAGTTTTTCAGGAAATTCAGAGTAAAGTGGAAACCTTTCTCTCATCCTTTCCCTTCCATGTCAAAGTTTCCTTTCTGCCCCCCTTTCATCGTTAAAAATGGCCTGCTGGTGCCGAAATCCAAGATCAAACTCTATATGACGTCTATATGACACGGGTGTATACAGGTAGATTGAAGGATATTTTAAAATCAGGCTAGCCTTCAACACTCAGATAAAGTGGTCCGTATGGACACACTACGGCTCACCTCTCTGCGGGGGACATTTGCTGGGGGTGGGGTTCATTTGAACGGTGAGGGTTATCACCGGAACGTTCAGTACATCCTACGACATGCCCGGCGTATCTTGGGAGAGGGGTGGGCTCAGTAATTTCTCAAGGGCAAATAAATTGTTCCAAACTCCTAACTCTTGCTTTTTTTTGGGGGAGGGGGGGGGGGGGGGGGCGTTCCCTACCTATGGGTGGATGTTTGTGTTCTATACCTCTTCCATCCCAGAAGTAGGACGTGCCTCATAACAAAATTTATTTATGGTCATTTTCTGCCCACATGTCTTTTGATTAATATAACTGGTTATGCTGGATTTTGGAGATTAACAAGTTCGTATATATTCCCCTGTTCCATTGTCTACTTGGATCTCAGATTGTTCTCAGAAAACAGGAAATTCCTAATAGTAATTTTTTTTCTTCTCTCTTTCTCCTTCTTGACTTCATTCGCCAACATTGTTTTCTGGATGGATAGCACCCTGTTGTCATATTTTGACAGAGGCTGCACTGAACTTTGAGTATTGTAATTTTTGTTTATGCCATCCTGGTGCAAACGGTTTTTCTTTTTTTTGTTGCCTGGCCTGGTGTGGCCATCCATGACTCCTTATGTAAGGAACTGCCTTCGTTTGTTGTGGCAGATTCCACAGTGTGCTTTATTGAGCACTTTTGTACAGTGGCATTGGATGCATAATCCTGAATTTTTCTTTTATTTTGGTGTTTCTCTTCTTGCCAATGGCCAACGTGATTGGAATTTTTCCTCAAAAACATTGTGATTTGTTCTCGAGGGATTACTTCATGTGCTTTGAATGTCATGCTTGTGTTCAGGTTAATCTCAAGTATGCAATTATGTGATATTTTGAGTATTAATGTCTCTGAATTATTAAACATTGTTTTTTTTTTTAAGTCAATGTACCTTTGTTATTAACTAAACTGCTTGCAATCTCATGTAACCTATTCTTTTGGTAATTTTTCTAAATTTGAGGGAAAAAATTTTTTTAAGGAGGGAGGACTGTCGTATGAATAAAAATAATAAGTAAAATTCGAATACAACCTTAATAGAACCTTGTGGCTCCCGCGGGACATTATTTTGTTCACGGCCCTGCATGGGTTCTGCCCATGTCAGGGTTGGGCCCGCGTAGCCCTCCATTGTATTTTTGGTGGTGTGACCCCCCCCCCCCCCCCCCCCCCCCCCCCCCCCCCCCCCNCATTGGCAAGAAGAGAAACACCAACGTGATTGGAATTTTTCCTCAAAAACATTGTGATTTGTTCTCGAGGGATTACTTCATGTGCTTTGAATGTCATGCTTGTGTGGTGTGGGTCGTCCGTCTGGCGGGTCCGTCTCTGGGGTCTTTTGTCGTCTAACGCTGTGCCTGCTCTCTCCACTACCATCTGTGACATTTCTTTCCTTTCTTAATTTAACATTAAGTAAATACCTGTTGTCCTTGTTTGAACACCGCTTTATTATTTGTCGTCAGTCGTCTTCTAGACGGCTTGTCCTGTCTGTGGAGCGAGACCGGACCCTTTCCTTTTGCTTCCGGTTAACCGCTCGTGCTAAATTATCTTTCTCTTGTTTCGGCCTAAAGTACACGCTAAAAGTCCCATTTGTTGCCCCTCCACACGACATTTCCAGTTCGCTGGTGGAAGCTAAATGTATCAAATAAAATGAAGCCCTGTTGCCTCTGTACTTGTTGGTTGCAACTTTCCTTTACGTGCTTGTGCGCAGCTGTTTTCATGCAGATTTCCATATACAGCCCCAGCTTTATATGACAACGTTCTATTCAGAATATTATCCGTGTTTACTACTTCTTCCAGAAACCATCATGCTCCATCTCATGTCCTTCATTCAGAAGAATAGCCCTGCACCATAATGTCTACTCTGCCAGAGCTTTACGGAGATATCCAATTTCTCCCAATTCTCTCGGATGACTTTCCAAAGTCCACTCCATAGTTTTGCTGCGCGGATTCCCAAGGGATCTGTAGGTGCGGCATTTGTAAACCCGTGGAAAAATTTTTTTTTTCATGTCTCGATCGGGGAAACCGAAAGGGTTAAGGTAGGGTCTTGTCGACCTTGACCATTCCTTGATCATTGATCAAACCGAGGGCGTCTATCGAAAAATTTTATTGCGCTTGGAAGTGCAGGGTACATTGAGCAAAAACTGTGGGAATAATAATAGTGGAAAATCGTGGATGATCCGTTTTCATTCCGAGTCAATGCTTCATGGGTCTCTTTGGCACCTGTAAAACCTGAGAAAGGGAGTCATTCATTTTAAAAACAAAAACTTTTCAAGTTTTTGAGAAATCGGTGAAAAGTACTACCTCTTAAGTGCTACCTCAACGTAAGTGTACTTTTTCAATTGAAGTGGTCTTTATTAACTATGAAATAAATGTAATGGAATACTCACTGATCGTAATCAGGCAGCTACTGAGGACCTTTTAGTAACTGAAACCTATTGACGCATTTACGGGATTGGCAATGGAAATTAACCCGCATTGATTCAAGGAATTCGAGACACCAGGGTGATCGAAATGAAGGTTAACTATAAGTCCTGAGAATGGGCTTCCTGGCAGAAAAGTGACATTTATTACTACATTTATATTTTCCTAAGTATTGTCAAAGAATTTGTGAAATAACTTAACGCCAAATTTCTTTCCACTGATGAATGACATTTTAAGGGCTCTATCAGAAAACCTGGCTTTTACCATTTTCAGGTGAAAGAAGCGCTCAAGCATCAAGGAAGATCTTACGAATGAAAGTTCGCATTCTGACCGGCGGAAGCGACTCGAGCGGCACCGGACGGCGTCCGCGGATGTTCAGTTGAACCAGCGACGATCGTCGCCTCTTCCCCACCATTCGCGTTCGTCGTGTTCGCAGTCGCCGCTGGCGGACACCTCGGCGACCTTCTCGTCCCAGCACGGGAAGAAGACCGTCGCCTGTGACAGACGGAAATGACATGAATTAGGAATTTAATTTGACGTGTAATGAAAATATTGAGCGTAAATTGCGTGTGAACGTTAATGAAAATTATACAAGCTTCATTCAATCGAAGTACGAAGGCAAGAGCTGGAAACGAAGATAAATGGAAGATCTTGCCTTTGCCGCGATGTCACCAGTGAATGCGTTGGCTTTGGTCACACAGACCGTCAAGGCCGTCGCGAACTGAGGGAAACGGATCGCATTTTCATTCAACCTGTTAATTCTATATATCACGTTTTCGAGCGCGCAACGCAATCACTTACGGCGTTTGAGGCAGTGTAGAAGTTGAGTATGTTCTGCAATGAGATGAGCGAATCCTGGAGGAAGCCCAGCTGGGTCATCACGCAAAGCTTCATCGCCACTTCCTGGTGGAGGAAACGACACGTTAGTTAAATGAGATTGCTTGACGGCGATGGAGATTTCGCGAAAGAAATCGCGAAGAACCAGGAATCGATGAAGACAAAGACGATGAAACTCGCAAAGAAAAGGCAAAAGAAATGACCAATAATGAAAACATGAAATGCGAATTAAGAATTCGATAATTAAAAAAGGGATTACAGATTAGAGAGAAGTCACAAACCTGTCGAAGAAGGTAAGCGAAATTCGCAGCGATGTTCACAGCCACATTCCCTGTATAAAAAAGAGACAAATGTATACCAAGCAAAGCATCGTAAGATGACACCAATTCCTAAAGTACCTGCTTTTCACGAAACGGGAAAATGCAAGTAGAAACTGAATAAGCGAAGAGTAGTCGGGGCCTCGGTATGAAGCGAAGGAGTGGGGGAGGAATATACTATATAGAGAAATTAGGGGAGCGCCCAAGTAGAAAAAAAATTGCAAAGAAAGTGCGAGGAAATTGAAAGTATTAGGTCTCACTGGCCGGCGCGTTTTTGGTATAATAGAGCTTGTGGTAGAAACCGAGGATCTCCCGCTGGAGTCCCAAGTCCAGGACCGAGTCGCCGTACAGGTACCCCGTGGTCGCGGTCGCGGTCGCGGACTGGCGGCAGGTCGTCACCGCGGAGCGGAGCAACCCCGAGCTCTGACGGAAGAGACCAGCGCGTTTTTCACTGCAAATCCGAGACGGCAAGGAAAATCCGGATTCTCTACGCTTACCCAACGGTTGAGCAGGGCTCCGTAACACCCCGCTCCATCTGGCGAGAAACGAACAATATATATTCTATCTCAGTTGGCTCAAAGTGAGAAAAGCATTGCAACATATGCAACATGAAAAGCATTGCAACATATGCAACATGAAAAGCATTGCAACATATGCAACATGAAAAGCATTGCAACATATGCAACATGAAAAGCATTGCAACATATGCAACATGAGCGGTAAGCTATTGAATCCCGCTATGTTAATCGGTGTAATAATTGAATGTGACTCACGCAGAGGCCCATCCTCTTCCCAGTCTAAAAAGGGGAAATATTCGGGATCATCATTCACCGATCTGTTTAAACACGCACAATCAGACCCATCCGAAAGTAAGGCGTTTGAATGTTTGAAGGTTTGAATCTGACCTCGTGCTGAGTCGACCCGGACGAGGACGAGAAGGAAAGCCGCACCGAAAATGAAATTCATGGCGAGGGAAGGAGGAGAATTGGGGATGGGCGGGGCCGGGACCGGCTTTATGTTTGAGTGGGGGAGTGCGACGCAGGATCGGAGTCAATGTCAATGTCACTGTCAATGTCAATGTCATTGTCAATGTCAATGGGGAGAAAGCCTTGGAAAGTGGGGAATGGCCTTCGTTTAGAGGAGTGTCTCTGTCGAAGGGATCGCAGCCGGTTTACTGGTCAAATTATCATGTTGATCGGTCGGAATTAAGTCGTTAATTAGGCGTGGTCATGTCGTCGATCGAGCGTGGGATTGCATTCGTATGGACTCGATATGCGCCTTTCGGTGGGATGAAGAAAATAAAACGAAGTCGAAACGAGAGCAATAAAAACGACGCCGTCGCGAAACCGGTCGGCGTGGTCGAAACGACCTTCACCAAAATCGGCAAAAAAAATTCGAAACGCAAGCACGTACGGAGGAGGATAACGAAGCGGAACCGGGATGAGAAATGCCCTTTGTGCGTCCCGAGTAAACAGGACAAGGTCGAAGGATGGACTAAGTCCATCAGAGTCTCTGCCGTTTCGTCGAGGAAATCCTACTCAGTCACGATTGAGGGGAAAATGCGATGGAAATCTTACGAAGGGTCCGAGGGCAAGGAAGGGTCAATCCGACGGCATATTCATCGGAAAAAATACGGAGATCACTTCATTCACGGTGATCGCGTCATTCACGGAGATCGCGTCATTCACGGAGATCACGTCATTCACGGAGATCGCGTCATTCACGGAGATCGCGTCATTCACGGAGATCCCGTCATGCACGGAGATCGCGTCATTTACGGTGATCGCGTCATTCACGGAGATCCCGTCATTCACGGAGATCGCGTCATTCACGGCGAGCAGGACGTAAATCACCCAATACAGAACGATTACTCGATGCTGAAAATGCACGGGACGAATCCTGATAGATTTTGCTAGTTCGATGATTCCCAAATTAAGTCTCAGAATCTCAATCGAAACCTCATTTAAATGGCCTGATTGTCATGCCGCAAGTACGCATTCGACGTTGACCCAACGTGGGACAAGCCCACGAGGGACACACGTTTGGAACCAACGGTGGGCGCACTTCAATTCCAACTTTGGCTCAACGTAGGTGTGCTGCAGGGGAACCTAGTGTTTTCTACGAGTATTCGAGGTACGATTAAATGTGTTTGCGAGTCCGAGAGGGGGAGGGGGTGGGGGGGGGAGGGGGGGAAGGGGTTGCAATCGCGTGTTCTCATTTTTGTCTCAATTTTCCCTGGAACTGGATTTTTTTTTCTATGAACGCTTATTTGCGAATGAATTTGCGTTGCAATGTGAAATCGTGGTTTCTCTAATTACCAAATACCGACGCTGAACGTAGTTAAAATGCCCATATTCCCCCAAGTTACCCATGGATAGTTTGAGTTGATGGATTTTTGCCAATCAGGTAATCTATCTATTTATCCATTTCTTTTTACCTTTGGCCACCACATACGCCCTTTAAAAAGGGTGAGCGATTTCCGAGAACGGGAGCGAAGCCGAACTTAGCGATTTTACTCCTTAAAAACGAGAAAGTACTAGGGGTGATCAAAAAGTTCGTAGTCCGAGGCCCTTCGGGTTGCGATACACCGGACTTTTGACTCATGAAGAATTTTCTCCAGGTCATAAGCTTTCGGTTGACATTTCACTCATGAAAATCCGTTCATCCGTCTAGGAGGAGTTTCCCGGAATATCTGACATAATGACATATTAGAATCGTATGAATATGGATTTAATGTTAATGAGGGCTAAGTAGGCAATATCGCAGATGAGGAACTGTCTCCGTTCACCTGATAATACTAAGGCGTAATTGTTCTGCTTCGTCTGTATGAACTTTGTCTGGTGCCCGACAATGGGTTGTTGCTATTTATCTTACCTGTATCACGAGGGTGCCGGATCGCCCTGGCTGGTTTGGTGAGAGATCCGCAGTTCGCCTAGGAAATCCGCAGGCAAGGACCGCCAATCCTGTCACAATTGAGTCTAAAAAAAAAAACGATATTGAAGATCATTTAGCGGCAGGTCAGACCCTAAAAAAGGTTTTTTCTGAAATTGAATTGATGAAATTGGCAGGTGACTGTGGACCGAGCCAGTTCTGTGTCCTTCCGGACTCGACATTTCTGGCCAGGCCGTCAAAACCGTCACTTAATGTTTTCATTTTGTTTGGGCACCATTGAGTCATCTACTCAATCTTATCAGAAGAACGGGGAAAATCGGGCAGCATATCGACAAGGGAGAAAGAGTCACTTCATATTTGCCTCCGAAATGTTCCACTCATGCCTTCTTTCGAAAATTTTGATTTTTTGAGTGATGAGTTAAAAGCATGCCTAGTCAAAAACGAGATTCTGTGCTCTCTCCCCCCCCTGGGAAGATGGAGTTTCAAATTTGCTGGAGCATTTCTGTTTTGAGAGGAAGAAACATGCTTAATTTGGTTCCTGTCGATGCTCTCGTAGAGGAACATGAAGATGTTGAATTTTGTTGCGGGAAGGGGTTGAAGAAAGGTAATAGGCGCTACCAAAGCCAATTGATGCATTCCATCATTTCGTACGACTTCAGTTCGTCTCGTCGATCCGGAGTCCGTCGAGTCAGACTTTGTTGCGTAGCTGCCTTACCCAAATTCCTGTAAGACATTACTATTTAGGTTTTTTTCGGAACTCATCATCCCAATAGCTCCTTGTGTAAGAAGTTTTAGATTTCTCTCAGATCATGCTGAGAATCAGAGTCAGTCACTGACGATCGTCTATAAACGAAAGACAATGAAAAAGTTAAAAGACGAGCAAGATATGTTTAGACATTGCGTCTCGGCATGATCCCCTTCGAAATAGTTCCCTTCCAACGAGATGTGCATGGTTTTTGCCACGGGGGCCAATTCTCACTGCTGGTCGATGGGTTGGAAAACATTTTTTCCGAACTTTCAAGGTCTCTGCACCACTTTTTGGTCCTTCAATTTGGTTATTGCTTTTGGACATTGCTTTTGGACCTTGCTTTTGGATCTACTCCCTGGCCAGTTGGATCTCTTTTGCCTATTTGTGCTCTCTTTTCTTTCGTTGCATATTCCTTGGCCATCAGGCCATGATTCTGTTTAATTAATAGATATATGTTTATTGTGTGCGAGTGAGAATCTTCTTTGCTCTTGATTTCCACACCGCTTGTCACGTGGGCAGAGGACCCCTCGACCCTTCTACCATTTGGCATCCCATAATGCAACTAAATTATGTCGTGAGCATGAGCCGAGCATTTTTCCAAAAATCCAGACGGATTTCGGACAAATGGCCGACATCACATCAATACAGGAATTTGTATGTTGTCCCAGTGGACCTTCTGGCCTCTTCCAGAAATTCCAAAATGTGTCTCGAATCCAATAATAAATTTGATCCACGGAAATTTTCTCACCTCCAATCGACTGGGATCAGCGTATCAATACGCAGGCGGATCAAAAAGGAACGGAACCTTGGTTGCAGCTCAAAAAACAATGCTCGTCGAAATCATTGGCCACTCGGCACGCGTCAACTTTATACACTTTTGCGAGACATGCTAAACATTTCAGCTGTCTTTTGTTTCTGGAACTCTGTTGGTAACCCAAAGAAATTGCCATAGTTTGTAACCTTTGGCGCATATTACTGGAATGCCAGAGCTGGAGCGAAGGGCAAACGTGAAGCTCTGAAAAATCGTTCACTGAGACTTTCGAGCTTTTGCAGCAGATGTACGCACAGATGCTTCATGTTTGCCCGCTGATTCAGCGCCGACATTCAAATGGAATAAGCCAAAAGTGACTCAACAATTTATTTGGATCGCCAACAGAGTTCCAGAAACATAAAAGACAACTGAAATTGCGAAACGGAGAAGTACATGCGAGCGATGACACACGCAACCTCATTTCTTACGACCACGTGCAAATTGGCCTCACTTGAGGACGCAGCACTGCTTTATTCACCAAATCATGGAAACCTTGGACAGCACTCACGCAACTCTTCAACATGCTGCAGTAGTAGTGAAAGCATTTCAATGCGCCTGTTTTCAAGGTATTTGCCTGCATAGCAACAAGTTGTACGTTTGAAAAATTATAGATAATTCCGCAAATTTTCATGCATGAGTGCGTTAAAGAAACGAAGATAGCCACGAATAGGTCCCAACTTGGCGACTAGGGAAGCCCAGAATAAGTCACTGGCATTTTGGACTCACTTCCTGACTCTGCCTAGAGCAGAGTTATTTCTTTAAAATACTCTAGTAGCGAAAACGTGCTTCAATAATGGAAGGTCTTCCCTCCCCATAGATTACAACTCTGTAATTCAATTTTTGATTATTGTCCTCTGGCATGTGGGTCGTTTGGAGCTGCTGGGTGTCGGGCATTTTCTCTTATTACTGGGCAACTTAAGTTTCTTAGTTTGAAAATTTGTTTCGATTGCGTCTCCCGGTTTGAACTCAAATGGAATGGCATAAGATGAGGCAATCTCAATGCATGCTTGGCTCAATCAATGCCGTCAGAGGGGCGAATTTCAGGTTGATGCCGCTTTAGCCATTTCCTTCGCTTCCCAATACGGATAAAAAGATGATGCGCGAAGAGAAATGTTGGCGATGAAGCTGATATTCCATCGTCGAAAGATTGTGATGCCATCGCTGCCTTTCAGAAGCGATGATGATAGTCGACGTTTATTTCTCACTCGCAACAAATGATACATCTCTGGTACCTGTCGCCTTACCAGTTTAAAAATTTCCACGTTTTTTTTTCTGTTCTGCCATTTTCAGAACAATGGGAAATGACCGCACTCGAAGCATGCCGCTCTCGCCAGACCTGTGACCCGTTTCCATTCCGCTAGCAGTCGACTCTGTTTCATCCAAAGACATGGAATATTCGATTCAAAAATGATCTTGGCAGTGTCTTAACCTTAATCGTTTGAATTTGTAGCTATTGCAGCAGGATTTCTGAATACAAATGAGAATAGGATGAATTTGAATCTCCAAGCCTGAAATGCGAAGCAAGAGAGCCAAATCATGGATAAACCCTAAAACTGGATTGTTTTTCTCAATTTTCAATCCTCATGGATATTTCTTTCATTTTCATCCTTAAGCTCTCCAATTAAGGGATTCCGAACTCGGTTGACAGGGTAGCGTCCTTCTTTCCATCGAGAATGAACGAGGGGACCTCGTTCTCCGCCCTGGGTCCAAACCGCTTGGCAAGAATCTCCTCCTTCCCTTGTTCGTCGTCGTATATAGGGCGTGTCGTCGCGGGTGTCTTCCTCCTCTTCTTCTAGGCACTCTCTAAGAAGAAAAATGGTGTACGGTCTTCGCTTATTCCTTGGGTCTTTGAATCTCCTCCTTCCCTTGTTCGTCGTCGTATATAGGGCGTGTCGTCGCGGGTGTCTTCCTCCTCTTCTTCTAGGCACTCTCTAAGAAGAAAAATGGTGTACGGTCTTCGCTTATTCCTTGGGTCTTTTCTCGAGTCGACGTTTCATGAGGCCTTTTGCAAAGGGAATGAGACCGTCATGCGATGTAATTTTGCTGAATACGTGAGATACTCACCTGCATTAATGCTAGTGTTGCGAATCACCCATTGCCGCGGTAATCCTGAATTGATCTTGTCGATATATTTAGAACGAACAGGTTTACAGGAACGGACAGGACAAACAAAAAAGGACACTTTTGCCTCTGGTGACATTGAAAACATGACGGCACCGAGATTAGACAGTCGGAGAGGTATGAATTCCTTGCTCGTCTCTACCTCATCCTTTCACCCCAAGGCTGGGTCTGATCTTGCTAGGTATTAGCCTCAGTGAACAGTGGCTCGAACATCTTCCTTGGGTTGATCTACTTCGACTGAGTAGTTGATATGCAGGGTATGGCAAAATATGGACCAACGTCTTTTAGTCTGTATATCTCTGCATACCAGAAGCTTCTTTCACGTAACTTGCATCGTGCATACATTGATATGTTCCCAAGAGACGTTGAAATTTAATCGTATTGGCGAAGTCGGAAAATAGGAAGAAACAGGGGACTCCAATTCGTTGCACGTGTCTCGTCCTCCTCACTCGTTCTCAGACAAAAACCAAGAGAAAACTGAATAAACTTCCACCAGTGTGGGCTGGTACTTATTGATTTTTCTCCCTTTACATAGAATTAAAGCCGATCAAACCTCTTCTGGTAAAGGGCCAGCCTAAAACAAATTCGAATGAAAGCGAAGTCGGATGTGGCCTGGATGACAGCAGTGCGTTTGGACTTGTCCTCCACTCGCCTACCAGCATGAGCGCATCTTTGATGTCGAACATCCTCATCACCTTTCACTTGATTGCTTTCAAGATATGAATTTCTTAGATAATTTGCGTACGCATTGGATATGATTGTGCATATATATATATGTACATAAATATATGCAACGAGAATATTTCGTGAAAATAGCTAATTGGGAAGGGAGACATGTTAGCTAAAAGTCAGTGTTTTTCGCCGTATTCTGTATTTAACGCGACTGATCCTGCAAATAGATGCAGTAGCCGCAGGCTATCCATCAAAATTTTGGGGCGGGAGGCTCAGCCCCAAGCGTCAACATAATTTATTCTCATATTGGTGAGCTAAACAGTTGTATGAAAGTCCAAGTTGAGACGATCGCTAACCTCTTCGCAACCAATGAGGCAGTTTTCCCAAAATGGAAACCCATAATTTGCTTTGGCTTTGCTGGGGTGAATGGAACGTAGCATTACTTGTTTTTCCTCTCCACACGAATTAGTTATGACCCTTTCAAAAGACAATATGGGCAGTTCAGGAAAACCTGGTCCAACTTTGAAGGCACGTAAATGGAGTTGGAGCCATTAATTTATTTGTGTTTCAGTTGAAAATCCATCAAATGCACCTGACTACATTTCTTGGGTCAATATTGCCCACCTGAAATGATTTGTAATTCAGCTCATGCATATAAGAGTCCATCGTGCAACTTACACTCATGGGTCCAGAGCATTTCCCGGAAAAGTGTGCATCTCTTCCAGCGTCTTCAGCTACATCACACACTCCCCTCATCACGCCCTGCAACAGTTCAAGGACAAAAAAAATACAGACGTATCCGAATGGAGTGATACTTTTGAAGAAAGCAGGAAATGAAGATTGTTTCAAGGGTATTTTCCGAACTGTGCCCTCCTGTGGGAATACCGCACACCTAGACCTCAATGACCAGAGGTCCCAGCCGGGCTTTTCCCATCTGGCAGCTGCATCGGACTTTCGCAACTATCTCAGACATTCTGAGTCGATTTAAGCGGAGATGATTTGCAATTGGCTATTTGTCCTGGGAAAAACGATGTGACCACTTATGATGACCTCATCAGAATGGCCTATGGGAAGGAATTGGAGCTCATTAATATTGTTATCTTCAATTCATGAAAACTATTGATTTAGCTCACAAAACTGCTAATGGAAAAATCACAATGAATATTATATGAATTGAACCTATAAAAAGAAACTAGTAACAACGCAACTTAGCTAGTTCTTCCATTCAGTCATTATGTTTTGGGTGACCAAAATAGTATTGAAATAAGGAGTAGGCTTCCAGATACATCAGACCGATCGACGGGAACGTTACAGCTGAACGAGACAAGAGACGCACCACTTCTGCCTGCTGAAAAGCAGCCAAACTCTTTTCGGCCATGCTGATGACTCCCTCACGAGTCTCGTGCCTTCCGATGAATCCGCTTCCGTGCACGAATAACATCCCCGGCAGACCAGACTTTCCCACCAGCTCCGCCATTCGAAGCCCCCACCATTCGGCGGGAAGGGGCACCCTGCATGCGAGAGTAATTCATGATGAGCCACTATCATGTTGATTCTTCTAAAAGGATGTGTTGATCTGCACGTGCCTAAAACCGGATGAACTTTGGACCGGTCGGATATTCCAGTCGCCGGAGTTCTCCTTACAAATGATGAAGGCCACTTCACTTTTCGGTAAAATACCTACATCTTCCGAGTGAGAGAAATGCTCCTTCCATGGGTAGGACTCAGATAGCTCCAATATCTTTCCGCTCTTGTGCACCTGCGAAAGTTTCTTGAAAGCAGGTCATTTTCCACATCTGAGTGAATGCATGGCACGGGATGAGCTTACCTGGAACCGTCGCTTCGCATCTTCGATGAACAAGCTTCTGGCAAGCCACCAGGGATCTCCATAGTATCGGATGCGATCAAGTAATTCATCTCCTGCCATCTGCATGGCCTTGTGGAAGACGACGTCCATTCGAGTGACTCGGTCTGTCCAGGGCGGCCTGAGATTGCTCACTCGGCAAGGGAGGTTCGTGGTGCTCTTATACCTAAGATGACGAATTAATTTTCAATTTCTAACAAAGATTAATTCAGATATGGCCTTCGACGAAGAACCTACTTGCGATAGCGATGGTCACATATCGCGACGCCATTGTCAATGGCATCGATCTCTTCGAAGAGGTTTTCATAGACGACGTCAAAGACGACATCCACCCTGGAGTCTTCGATCGGCCAATTCAAGATACGGCTGATGATTCGATGCCCAAAGTGATTGAAAACCAGCCCTGCGCTACTCAGCTTTGTCCTCCACTTCTTTCCCGGCCGAACGGTACTCATGCTTTCTTCAAAGTCNGAGTCTTCGATCGGCCAATTCAAGATACGGCTGATGATTCGATGCCCAAAGTGATTGAAAACCAGCCCTGCGCTACTCAGCTTTGTCCTCCACTTCTTTCCCGGCCGAACGGTACTCATGCTTTCTTCAAAGTCACTATCGAGGCAAATAAGGAATGATCCAACAGATCACGCCGAAGAATATTGCAGTCAACATTCTTCCCGATGTCTGGGACAATGGTGACGCGCTTACTTTTGATGGTGATCGAATCGCAGCTTGGCAGGGTCGTATACCCCACCCACGTCCACGACAACGTTGCATTCGGAAAGCACGTCTTCATCTCTCGATCTGTGTCATGAAAAAGTCTAGAGAATTTGCCCATTCAGCTGAAAAACATTTTCGGTGAAGTTAAGTTCAACGGAAGATCTTCATAGGGAAGTTGAGGCGATTGCAGCGTCTCAGTTCTTCATGGTGAAGACTCGGGTACATTCCGAACACGACCCGTTTCAATTGTAACGACAAAAGATCTTGGCAGTAATCTAAGCGAGAAGTCACTGAAATTCGCCATGGACTTCGTGGAATTTAATTTCCTAAAAGAATTGAAATTTCTCATCAAAATGGATGAGCTTTGGTACCTTCACATGAGCAAAATGATTACTGCCCCAATTCTAAAAACAAAACTCAGACTCACCTTATAATTGTTGCATCTTGATATTCTGGGAGTAGTTTGAGCATGAAACAAGCAAGAGCGTCATCGCAATGAACGATACCATCATGCGTCCCAATCCTGACACTTGACCCGGAAGCCTGTGTCATTTTTGTCCAGGCAAGACCCCGCTTCACCTGCTTGAAAAACACATATTGACTGTAAGGGGCTGCGAACACTGGCAAGCTACCAGATGGCGATTCTCAGCTTCTCGTCCCCCCCCCCCCCACAGAGGAATATCATCCCGTCATGAATCCTGGATGATCGGCAATAAAGCGAGTGATGCAGATTGGACAGAATAAACCTGCGGGTTCTGGAAATGAAGACCTGACAGAATATTTAATTCCTCCAGTTCCATTGAAGACAACCTCCTCTCTCTCCCCCTCACTTGATGGCATTTACATATCAAGAAATACTTAACAGCAGTGATTCATGGGGAGAGGATGAAATTTACGCAGATGAGCAACACTTAATCAAAATAGTCCTTCTGGACGTCGCCAGTTGGAGAAAGTTCTGCATAATTGACAGGAGATACTAATTATTTCTGGTTATTGGGATAATTTGGGAAAAGGGAAGGCAAACAGTGTTGCCTTCCATTTTCGATCAGGGTGGGGATCGGGGTCGGGATTCATGCATTTGGCCTCAAAATCTCTTGTAACGAGGGAAGCGTAAATTACTTGACTGATGTGTATTTATTCAGTTTTTCTTGGAGTAGTATACCTGTAGTTTTATTGATCGAAATGTGGTGCAGGCGTTAAATAGGTACCAGGAATTTACGAGTTCATAAAAAAAATACCGATGTCCTTTACAGACGTCCTGATGTGATTTAAAAATATGAAAGAGAATATAGGAGGAATTCAACCAAATTTCACTCTTAGGGCCTGGCCATTTTATTATTTTGCTTGATAATTGGAAGGAAAGGAGATCTGGCAAGTGCAATCATGGATTTTAGATTTTATATAAAAAGGACTAGAATGGAGATATTGCACTCGCTAGTTTTGGCCCATTACATTAATTGCTCCTGCAGACAAGTGGAATGAGTTTCCTAGAGCTATTAATAGAAAGGCGTTACATATGTTATTTTTTTTTAGCGCTTTGCTTTTCCATTGTCGTCAAAATCCGTGCTCCACCACATGGTCCAAGCTGATGGCCATCATATGACTTGCGGTTAATTCGCAAACAAATAAAAAACTGTGCAGCGCTCACCACGATTGAGTTGCGGTGGATACGATTCAAAAGAAAAGCTCAAGGTTCATGCGTGACAAATTCACAGAGATAGGACAACATACCTCATTTCATGAAGTATCTTCCCTTTCCTCAGAAGTTTCGACTTCAGCTCAACCGTTGGATCTCCTCCGAGGTTTCGTTTTTAAGCAGAAAAGGTTGAACCTGTTCAAACGACCCATATATCTCCATGTCACGGCATGCCGAGATTCCCTGAGGAGCTGCTTTTTAGGCGCGACGCCTGGGTTTGGGAATTGCTAGGATCCACATGGTTTCCACGGTAGTTTCCCACTGATTAATTTCTTCTTCATTGGGTGTTTCATGAGTTGGATGGATTGTTCTTGATATGCTTCATTTCTATGGTTTGCTTCTTGCCTTTGTCGAACCACGTGGTTGCATGATGCTTCTCGAAAAACCTTATTGCTTTAGCCGGTACCACTCCAGGAAATCAACCTGATCTCGATCTAAAGTTTAGGTCGTGGAACAATGTGGTGAAAGCAATGAGCGAGATTCTAGAGGTTGGACCCCACCCCCGTAGCCTTGAAATAGACCCCTTCTCTTTTCCCTTTGGAACCTTTAAGCGAGGGTGAATGAATCCCCTCTGACTGGCAGTAGGCATTTTGTCCCTTGCGGCCAGGGAAGGTTCTTTGCAATTCCCCCCCCGTCCCTCACCATTCCAAAAAAAAAAAATGCCGTCCAGTTGTGCCACTCCACTGGGCTTGCCACTCCGATGGACCTTGGAGCAGGTGACGTTTGAGAGCTTGAGTCAAAGCTGCTTCCATATACCTCGCCCAACAACACCAACAAATATCGGGGCCGTTAGGTAGAAGAAAAAGAAAACTCGACCGTCAAGGTTTCACGGTCGGGAGAACGTAGGAACTCTCTAGAGATGTGCAGATGGGTCACTCTTACGGTCCCACCATCTCTTGTCGAAGCTTCCGTTATATGGCTAAAACTAATGCGATTCGAAAGCAGAGAAAATGTACTTTTGTGTGAGTGTAGCATTGAGGTACTCTTCAAAGGTGAAAGAAAGGTCACGAACCTATTTTGCTACGCTTACTCGGATATCCAAAAACAATCGACAACAGTTCATCCAGGTCGATAAGGACATCCACTAAAATCACGTGCATGATTTCCTACGTTTATAGGCCTGTGGCCGGAATGACGGTCGGAAAACAATTTTGGAAATCCAGCTAGTCTGGGTCATATGAACTCACGACCAACCTTTGAAGTCGGTTCGAATGCATACCTTCCTTTACAAAATGCCCACCTGCATCCGCTGCAGCTGAGCAGGAGACAGATGACTAGCAGGTAAGAGGAGGATTTAGAACTAGGTGGATGTTAGGAATCCATTTGGACACTTCCCTCCGTGTGTTTGGAACTACGTGGATCGTCCCTGGATTGATATGGAACCAGGACATTCGTCCTATAGGTGAATTTCCGCCTGGAGCAACGTCCACCTGGTTTGAAGTCCACCGGGCAATGGGAGGGGGGGGGGGCTGGACGTTCTATAATGGTGGGCATTGATCGGCAATTCTGGGAAAGACCAATGCCAAAGTTGCTTGAAAGTCATAGGTCGGTGACTGCATGACCCCTCTAGTGACTCCCTACCAGAATAATTGATTTCAAATATTAGTCTGAATCCATTTCGACTTGAATTTAGTTGGTCATGAAAATCCTGATTATAGCCTGAGATAAAAAAACGTGACCGTGATTTCGTCGCGAACTAAATATTCTTGGACAGATTGTTGCGGACCGAACATCGTAAGCCCGTTTCGTCGTTAATTCAATCTTTCGTTTGAATGAAACTTCATTGAGCTATCTGCTGTTTCAGAGATGGCATGAATTTTCAAAGAGCGGCGCTTTTTTTTTTAACCTCAACCGGTACTTGTTATTCTGAGTCTGTAGATTCTCTCTTGCATGAACCCGGTGCAAGTCTTCAAGAGCAATTCATGATAGAGTTGTGTTGTGTATTTCCATGCGAAAACCAGTAGATTGTTTCAGTTAGTTGAGAATTGGAAATAGGTAAATGGCTGAATTCAGATGGCAAGGAAAGGTCTCTAATGACAAAGGCCCATAGACTGAAACCTCTTTTAGTTAAGGGTCTTTCAAGAATGCATGGACTCCTATGGGGAATGAGAGCTCTTTAGCTTAAAGGCCTTTTCATGAATGAGGTTTCAGCGTTCTCGTCTTAACATTTAACCTTTTCCGAGTTCCTGTTCGCATTGCATGAACCAATGTCCCGAAAGTCCTATTTGCATTTCTCTACCTCGCGAATATGTCACCTTTCGAGATCCTTTTCCCACGATCGTAGACGCGAAGTGTCAGTTTAAATCCGAATGCATGTTATTAGAACTATGCGCAAAGCAACGAAAGCAAAACTCAACTTAAGCGCTTTTGCACAAAAAAAAACCCAAAAGAGTGGACGCGAAAGAATTGGACATATGCGTGTCCATAAATAACCCCTCCTGTCCCTGCTCGACCCGGTTTTCCCGTCCATCTGGTCCATCTAGTCGGGATCCCTGGGAAGGCCCCAGAAGTTTTTTTTTTATTCATCGGTCGAGAAGCAGGGAACATCGCTTTGCCTTCTCCTGGCACGCTGGGATGGAAATCCTCCATGACAGAGCGTGGAGGATGACGATAGCGATGAAGACTTCGGTTTTCCTTCCTCTTCTCGTCCCGAGGAGGCGGATGAGGGAAAGGCTTTGTTTCGATGGCTGCATTTTAAGCTTTTGAACTTGACCGAATGGAAGATTATGGGTGTGTAACTAGGTCGGCATAGAGCATATTCCCATTTAGACGTCGAGTCTACGTATGCTCTCAACGTTTCCACACTCATAGCATCGATGGGCGCCTTGGCTTTAGGTGGCCGTGAGTATATTTCGAATATTGTCCATATTTTGTTAAATTCAAAGGTGGCAACGTTGAGTGCAAGCCTCGAAGGAATAGATGATGACGAACTCACTGGAACGGCAATTGCGCCTGTCCGCGGATATCATCCAAAGAGGCCGATGCAATGTGGTGCGAGGATGAGGCAAGGAGTAGCACGTTCCGACTTGCGTCGGGATGCATATGAGAAAAGAATGCGCTCCTCCGCTTTCTCGCTCGCACGTTCCCTCACTCGCTCCCTACGTCTCACTCTCTTTCTCCTCTCCCTCGGGGCGCCCCGAGGGCCCCGAGGGAGAGGAGAAAGAGAGTGAGGCCCCCCGAGGGAGAGTGAGTGCATGGCACGACCGGTAGTGACCTTGGCCGTGATCGCTCCCGCTCCGCACGTGTTGTCATCGCGATGGGAAAGATCGCTCATTTGAACGAGATCAGGAAGGCGTACATGAGGTCTGTTTGGCAGGATGACGTCGGTTTTCACCCGTCGCGTCTTTATTCTTCCCTCCATCTTGCGGGAGAACCCTGTTTCCAGGGTCGGCCCTAGCTACTTCAGCGCCCTGTGCAAAGAGACTCCCAACCCCTCCCCCCTCTCAAAAAGGAGAAGGGTCGATCACTAGCGTCCAAGAAGAAGCCGAAGCGAAAGGCATTCCCACTTTATGAAGTAAAACTAAGGCAATCCATTCTGACGCGTTTTGGCGTCCCTGGTGAATTCGCACCCCGTGCGGGGTCACATGTGGCACATGCCTAAGGTCAGCCCTGTCTGTTTCAAATGGGTCCGCCGCAGGAGCCTACGGTGACCGACCTGCGATGCCCTCTTTGGGTTCGGCTCGAAGTAGTCATCGACCTGGTGAGGCTAATGCAGCATTTTTCGCCGTTGGAGATATTCGTGGTTGAGCCTTCGATGTGTCATTGGCACGCTGGCCCAGGGTGGGCCTGCGATTGGATTCGAGTCTGAGAAAGACGATCTCGATATTGGGATCGTTGGGTCCAGAAACCTGCAATGTTTCCAGGCCCTCGTTCATCGGAACGAAAGCGAAGATGCAACTTCTATCATTTGAGAAGAAGCTTCAGTAAATCTGTTTTGAAGATGGTCGGGGTCACGAATCTTCGCGGAGTACACAATACTTTTTAAATGTCTCCCTAAGTAAAAATCTAGTGGCGAAAGATCTTCACTTGACAATCAATCACAAATCCGAATTTGAAAAAATAAAATATTGATTTCTCCATGTTTCTATTTAAACGGACCACGCTGTATATTTCGGAGCAAAAAAAAGGTCATGGTACGGGCGAAAAGTATCAAGATCTCGTTTGGAACCTCGGGTTCCGGCCAAACTTGACGGCGAGGCTGCCTTTATCCATATTTTTCGCGCAAACTTCAAGGAACCGGACAGGAGCTCTTCAACTTGGAGCAAAATGTCGCTTGGAAATTGTTGCAATGCCTTCAGACTGTCACTACTCAGTTTGAGTTGTTCTCGAACATCTACAGGTCAATGAAAGATTTGGGGGGAAAGAGCCCTGAGGCATTAAGCCTTCACCAAATCGCTGTGATCCCAACGCTTTGGCCTCCTTCTTCCCTTGAGTACTTGCAATTGACCCGCAGAGAAGTTCCATTCGGTCGATTTTGCAGCATTCCCCTCTCCCCCCTCCCCCTCCCCAGGTAGGATCAGACATCCGTCGTACGTCCGCATCTGATTCTAACATCCTGAACCACGCTCATTGGTACTCCGCCGTTGGTGAGTGGCTTCATAGTTGGAGAGCACGGTTTCCCTATCGGGGACCCGCGTTCTCATCCAAGGGAAAATCGCTCTTCCTCTCATTTGCCATGAGGCAAATGAGAGGGGCTTATCAAGGGGCTTATCGAAGAGCGACGAGGAAGACAAGGAATTTTCGCTCGTTACTTGCACGTATCGCTTATGTTGAAAGGAATTTCTGATAAAGAGTCCTGTCGCAAACATTGGAGGCTAGCTTTCTCCATCTACGAACCCAAATATCTCACTGACACGCGATAGCATAGCTGAGACGGAATTTTTAAGTGCCTGATAAGGTTTTCCTATATCACTGGCAACTTTCCTGAAAACTCTTTGCTCATGAGATAGACTCGCAGAGAGGAGGCTGTGTTAAAGGCATTTGTGGTGTCAGTCTAATATTCTCAGCAGCTTCTTTTCCATGGACGACCGTGAGTTCCATATGCACTCCTAGTATGGATTTGTAGACTGATTAGAAAGGAATGGATCTTTGGCTGCAGCTCCAACGATGCTCGTCGTGATCGTAGGCCACTATCCAGGTCTAAACTACGTTCACTTTGCGAATCATGATAAAAATTTCAGTTGCCCGTTATTTAAGGAACTCTGTGGGTGAGAAAAAAGAATTTGCCATAGTGATTTTACTGGAATGGCATCGGGGGAGCAGAGAGCGAACATGAAGCTCTGAAGATCGTTCACTGAGACTCGAGCTTTTGCAGTAGATGTACGCACAGACTTCTGCTGCAAGCACCTGCTGTAGGTAGGTACTCCTGCTGCAAAAGATTTTCAGAACTTCGTGTTTGCCCTCTGCTCCATCTCAGTAAAACCGTCGAAAGTTACACTCTCTATGGCAATCTATATTTTTCACCAATAGAGTTCATTAAATAACAGGCGACTGAAGTTTTTATCATTGATCATATATTTTACCATGAGTCGCAAAGTGAACATAGTTGATGGCTGTAGAGTGGTCAACGATTTTGACGAGAATTGTCGGAACTGCAGTCAAAGTTCCGTTCCTTTCTGATCAGCCTACGTACGTAGTCATTGTACAGGGAGGGCCACGAAATGATGACGGTTTTTCATTCATTATATGTGGTCTCCCATTATAGACAGCTCCATAATCTGTGACTGGGAGATGCAATAGGAACGGAGTTTTAAAAAACGAAAACGAAGTTGACGCCTGTGAAGCCATTTTCAGAATGCGAATGTCTGAAATTTTGTACATTCCGACAATCTCTCTAAAAGGAAATCAACAACAATCGTCCACAATGCTGACGATACAGAGCAGTCATGGGAGGATTAGTTGAAAACATTCGCGTTCCCCATTTCCAAGCCAGAATTTCCATCAAAGAAACCCTTGAAGTCAGGCAGGAATTCGTGAGAGGACGAAACCAGGAAGGTCGTTCCTTCCTGGGAAGGTCGTTCAATTGATCAGGATATCCTCTCGCCCTTCACCTTCCCGTATAGCTGGAATAGAAAGCGTTAAAGCATCGGCTGGAGGCAAGCGGAGCCGTGCAGGTACTCGGAAAGGCATGCCAGGAAAACCTTTTTCGTCTCTCAATTCCATGATCGACTCCACAGTCATCACATTTCATCGTTCAACTGCCTTTGGAGCTTCTGATGCCTTGCAGCCGAGTGCCAGGTTGGCTCACACAAAAAAGTGGAAGGCAGGAATCATTTTCCTTTTGCATTCAACGAAAAAATAGGTTTCTCTTATGCCAAATACTTATGTCAAAATGACTTGCAGTGAAATGACGTGGAGCCGAAAAATTGTGAAGAATTGAAAGTGCTCAAATGGCACTATGATCTCATTCCTTCTCAAATGGCACTATGATCTCATTCCTTCGCTCCAATTCCATTTGCAAAAGCAGGATGTCTTTTCCCCTCATATTTCAAACACCCTCTCAGTAAAACCTAAGTTCCTAAAGGGATGCTCTCATAGCTTAAAGAAAAACGTACAGATAATACCTTGTTATTGCTCTTCTGGTGACATGCGTGAGCAAAAATGTCTTGGACAGATAAGGTACCGGTAGGCAGAATTGGCCCTGGAATGGGCTTAAGGCCTCAAAAACTGAGCTCCTAGCTCGTGCATTTCAAAAATGCTCTCTGTAAAGTTGTGAAAGGATCAGGACGCGTGATGGCTGGTGCAAAGTTTTAAGGGACTAAGAGTGGGGCTGTATCGATGGGCCTTTTGCCGGTGGGCCGATGGCCGATTTTCATCTCAAGACCATCGGTCGGTGCCGATTGTTGTCTGAAAATTGAGAAGTAACATGAAAATGCATACTAATTCAAATAGGCCTATTTGGAAACCTAGTAGTACTTCTCAGGGGACACCCTAAAAACGACAGATGCCATATTTAGCACTGTTCGCCTGTCAGTCAGCGATTAGCTTGTTACCTTTTGCTTCTGTTACGGGCATTTACAGAACGCATCTCTGGCAAATGCATGACATAAACAGAGGAGCTATGATTTCCCGTACTTGAATGAGATTTTCCTCCGTCAGGTACTAGAATAAGACTGAAATATAATCCGATCCATATTTTTCGGGTCCACACCTTCACAGTTATTTTTTTTTGTTTTGTCTCTCCTTTGTTTTGCTTTTGCTGCTTTAGTTTTGCCTCTCCTTCAGACATCGACATCGGCAGCTTGCAAACTGGCCGATGGCACCGATAGTGCAACACAGGTCGATACCGGGAGTAGTGCAGCCCTAATTAAGAGCGATAAATAATACTAATATGGTGGAAATTAATTCATGAAAACCTACAGGTATTCTGCAAAAAAATTTTCATACACAAAATTCTAGGTGTCTCAGGAGGTATCTCGCATCATAGATGTATTTATCGAATGAAAGAAAATTTGTTTTATCTTCGTGCAATGACGAATCAAATCAATCGGTCGTAGGAAGTGGAGTCGATAGAAACACGAGAGAAAACTAACTAGCGTACACAACTTTTTTGCAAACTGAAATTTCAGC